GGTCCTTGCGACAACACAGCTTGTGCAATTGTCACACCGTTACAGGCAGCTCGGTGTGCGCTGTTGTGACACCGGCTGGGTTGCGGCAAAGCTGCGTTGGCCTGAAGAAGGAATGTTGGAATCGTATAATACGTCTCGTAGGTTGTGATGAAGAGGTGTTTTTCTCAACCTTGGCACTTTAAGACTGGTGGACTTCAACTCCCAGAATTCCCCAGCCAGCTCTTTTTTTCCCCCACTTTGCTGAAGTCAAAGATATATTATGTTTAGTGCATACCCACCACCTGTGAAGAAAGTTACCTTATATGGATGACTGGGGAATTCTGGGAGTTGAAGTCCACGAATCTTAAAGTGGCCAAGGTTGGAAACCCCTGATTTAAGACGTGTGGACTTCAACTCCCAGAATTCCCCAGCCAGCTCTTTTTTTTCCCACTTTGCTGAAGTCAAAGATATATTATGTTTAGTGCATACCCACCAGCTGTGAAGAAAGTTACCTTATGTGGATGACTGGGGAATTCTGGGAGTTGAAGTCCACGCATCTTAAAGTGGCCAAGGATGGACACCCCTGGTCTAAGGCAATGAATACTGTAAATAAAACCCTTTAAGTTAGCTTCAAAATACCTACTTGGATTGGGCAATGGGTTTCTGAGTTGTTGGCTGGCTGGGGAATTCTGGGAGTTGTAGTCCACGAGTCTTAAAGCGGCCAACGTTGATAAACACGGATTTAAACTATACAACTAGTCCTCAACTTATGACCACAATTGAGCCCAGAATTTCTGTGGCTCAATGAAACAGTGAGTTAAGTGAGTTTCAACCCCGCTTTATGACCTTTCTTGCCACCGTCGTTAAGCGAATCGCCGCACTTGTTCAGTTAGTGAGTCCCACGGTTGTTAAGCTTCCCCGTGGGCTTTGCTCGTCAGGAGGTCACAAAAAAAGGGGGATCCCGGAACCACCGCGACCGTCGTAAATACGAACCAGTTGACAAGCGTCTGAATTATCATCCCGTGATTGTGGGGATGTTGTAGGTGTGAGGACCTGGTCATCAGACACTCTTTTTTTTCAGGGCTGCTGTAACTTCGAATGGTCACTAAACAGACAGTTGGTTATAAGTCGAGGACCACCTATAAGGAAACTTCCAATAACTATATAAAATATTAAAAAATGAAAACCCAGAAGGAATTTAAAACACTTAGCTGAGCTTGGTGGCTCGTCTGCTTGGTGAATCTTAGTTTAAGCAGCGTATCTTAATTTCTATCCCTTTATCTAGGAAAACGATGATCATCTAAGCCAGTGATGGCTAATCACGGGCCAAAAGCGGGGGGGCACGGGGGGAGTCACCCACATGCGTGCACACACGCATAATTCTATGCGCCCTGCCCTCCTGCGCATGCGTGTGTGACCCTCCCGCGCTACCTCTGCTTTTGGCACGCGAGGTGGGCCTGGTAGGCCTGTTTTTTGCTCTCCCCAGGCTCCAGAACCTCTCTAGGAGCCTGGGGAGGGCAAAAACGGCCTTCCCCACCACCCTGGAAGCCCTCCAGAGGCTGGAAATGGGCCATTTGCCGACTTCCGGTGGGAGCGGAAGGCCCGTTGTTTGCTCTCCCCAGGCTCCAGAGTCTCTCTAGGAGCCTGGGAAGGGCGAAAACGGCCTTCCCCACCACCCCGGAGGCCCTCCAGAGGCTGGAAATGGCCCATTTGCTGACTTCCGGTGGGACTGGAAGGCCCATTTTTTGCTCTCCCCAGGCTCCAGAGCCTCTCTAGGAGCCTGGGGAGGGGAAAAACGGCCTTCCCCGCCACCCTGGAGGCCCTCCAGAGGCTGGAAATGGCCCATTTGCTGACTTCCGGTGGGACTGGAAGCCCCGTTGTTTGCTCTCCCCAGGCTCCAGAGCCTCTCTAGGAGCCTGGGGAGGGCAAAAACGGCCTTCCCACCCACCCCCCAGAGGCCGGAAACGGCCCATTTGCCAACTTCCAGAAGTCCCACCGATATGGCGCGCGTGCCCACCGATATGGCGCCGTGTGCCACCTGTGACACGCGTGCCACAGGTTCGCCATCACGGATCTAAGCTTTTTAAAAAAACTCCTTTCTGGAACTCATTTGAATTCCTTTGAAAAAAAATAATAATAACTCAAACGTGTCGACTCACAAAAGGGGTTCGTGAAGCTAATTCTCCTTCAGTGGACGCCTTTCAGCAGACCCTAACCTGAGCAGGGGTGGGGTAGATGATCTCTGGGATCTTTTCCAACTCTGGGAGCCAGCCTAGGATCAAAGAACCATTTTCATGGCTGTGGGGGCAGTGATGGGTTTCACATAGTCTTACTATTAGTTTGCCCCTTTTTTAATATTATTTTGGGGACCACCTTTAAAAAGTTTAACCGTTGTGTTTTTCCGCAAGGAAATACGATTTTTGAACGGTAATAAAATGCTATAAATTCTAATTATGAGGAGAGGGGAGGGGAAAAACCATTCACAGCTTGAGGTTCTTCCATTTTTTTTCCCCCCAGCAACTTGGGAGAGTTTTATTCTAGGTTAAATTCGAGATAATAGAAGGAATCTAGAGTGGCCTTCCTAAATTTCGTGGCCTCCAGATCTGTAACATCCCGGTTGGGAATTCTCGAACCTGCTGCAGCCTTCAACCACCTGAAAGGCTGAACTAAGGATTAAGGGGAGGTGAAATCCAGTGGTGGAATCCATTTCTTTTTTACTACCGGTTCTGTGGGCGTGGCTTGGTGGGGCGTGGCTTGGTGGGCGTGGCAGGGGCAAGATATTGCAAAATCTCCATTCCCACCCCACTCTGGGGCCAGCCAGAGGTGGTATTTGCTGGTTCTCTGAAGTATTCAAAATTTCCGCTACCGGTTTTCCGAACTGCTCAAAATTTCCGCTACCAGTTCTCCGAACTGCTCAAAATTTCTGCTACCAGTTCGCCAGAACCTGCTAGAATCTGCTGGATTTCACCCCAGGAAGGGTCCTATTTGTTTGCCGGCCCACCCATCATCTCCAGGATTTATCCAGAATTCCCATTGCTATTAAGCAAGGTGCTTGTTAAATGAATCACACCCCTTTTCTTTTTTTTTGCCATGGTTGTTAAATGAATCACACAGTCATTAAACGAAGCCAGCTTTCCCCTTTGACTTTAGCTCATCCGAAGGCATCTGGGAAAGAGTGATCCCATGACCCGGGATGACATGGCCACCGTCGTAAATACAAGCACCTGTATTTTTGATGCCATGACCATGGTCATAAGTGCGAGGACTGCTCGAAAGTCACTTTTTTTTTAGCGCCGTTGTAACTTCAAACGAGAGTTTTTAAATATACAACACAAAAATGAAGCTTTGAGACTTTCGGAGAGATGGCGTATCCCACTCGGGGCCAAATGGCTAGGATCCCATCAGATCCAAGCCTGAGAAAATGCTAATTTCTCCGCCTCTGAGGTTGAGACACTCACACAGGTTGCCATGTGGAAACATTCCCGTCTCCACCTGGAATTTCCTCCAGGTCCACCTGCTCTCGTGAGCGTGCCGCCCTCTCATCGCCCTGGCGGCTCGTGAAGCATGCCGTGATCTCCCGGTGGCCACCTTTCCTGAGGGGAGAAAAATGCATGACTCGTTCACTGGCAAAATAAGTGGGCAGGTCCCTGGGCTCCAGAGACTTAGCTTTCTTTGGGAATTTTAGAATAAAATTATTTTAAAATTAAGACGGTGGGACTTCATCTCCCAGAATTCCCCAGCTGACATGGGCTGGCTAGGGAATTCTGGGAGTTGAAGTCCCCAAGGTTGAAAAAGACGGCTGTGAACCATGGTTTTTCAACCATGGGAAGTTGAGAGATGAGTGGACTTCAATTCCCAGAATTCCTCAGCCATCATGGCCACCTAGGGAATTCTGGGAGTTGAAATCCCACCGTCTTAAAGTCGCCAAGGTTGAAAAACAAGGCTGTGAACCATGGTTTTTTCAACCATGGGAAGTTGAGAGATGAGTGGACTTCAATTCCCAGAATTCCTCAGCCAACATGGCCACCTAGAGTTGAAGTCCCACCATCTTAAGGTTATCAACGTTGGAAAACACTACTGTGAACCATGATTTTTCAACCATGGGAGGTTGAGAGATGAGTGGACTTCAATTCCCAGAATTCCTCAGCCAACATGGCCGCCTAGAGAATTCTGGGAGTTGAAGTCCCACCATCTTAAGGTTATCAACGTTGGAAAACACTACTGTGAACCATGGTTTTTCAACCATGGGAAATTGAGAGATGAGTGGACTTCAACTCCCAGAATTCTTCAGCCAACATGGCCACCCAGGGAATTCTGGGAGTTGAAGTCCAACCGTCTTAAAGTCCCCAAGGTTGAAAAACATGGCTGTGAACCATGTTTTTTCAACCATGGGAAGTTGAGAGATGAGTGGACTTCAATTCCCAGAATTCCTCAGCCAACATGGCCACCTAGGGAATTCTGGGAGTTGAAGTCCAACCGTCTTAAAATCGCCAAGGTTGAAAAACATGGCTGTGAACCATGTTTTTTCAACCATGGGAAGTTGAGAGATGAGTGGACTTCAATTCCCAGAATTCCTCAGCCAACATGGCCGCCTAGAGAATTCTGGGAGCTGAAGTCCCACCATCTTAAAGTTGCCAAGGTTGAAAAACAATCTTGGATATTGGAAGGAGAATTTGGCCATGCTAAATAAATAGTGTTATGTCGTAAATATATATAAATAAATAAATTTACAAAATATAAATATAAAAAAAAAATCAGGTCCCACCGAGATTCGAACTCGGATCGCTGGATTCAGAGTCCAGAGTGCTCACCATTACACCATGGAACCGCGACTGACGCGCAGCTTTACCGCCCTTCGCCGTTCCCCCGCCGTCGGAAAGGGAGGCGGGGAGGCCGCCCAGCCAATGGCGTCCTTGCTCATTTGCATATCCCGTTCTTTCCATATTCGAGGAGCAAATGGAGAAGGTTCTACGCGTGGGCGGGGTCAGGCCCGTTGCTTAGGAGATGTGGGCGGAGTCTTTCCTCCTCACTCCAGCTTTTCCGACCCCCTCCCTTTCCCCGGGTCGGGTTAACCCTTGAATCGCCAGGCTCGACTGCGTTGCTTTTGATTTTTCTTCTTTGGGCGAAATAATTCCGATTTTTTTTTTCTCTCTCTCTTTCTCCCTTCTTTTTTTGGCTTTTCTCCTTTTTCTCTCAGGTCCTGGAACATCGATCTACTTCTACAAACCAGAAGGTTTGTTTTATGCTTGGCTATGTTTGCAATCCTTGCAAAATAAATAATAAAAAAAATAGAGGGATGGGGAAAATTGCAAAGGGAGAGATGGCGGAGGAGGAAGGGGGAGGAAGAATGCATGGCTTTGCAGTCTTAAATTATGTGCATAATTCTGTATTTATCTGCATAATTCTGTAATATATGCGTAATTCGGTATTTATGTGCATAATTCGGTA